CGCCTGCCACGCAAATCACACCCGCAGATGGTCTATACACATTCAATCATCCAAGGGACTCGGCTCGGCTCGGGGCTGGCAGACGACGAGTCGAAGGGCTGCACATGGCTGCAGTCACCGCAGGGACCCTGTCAGACTGGCACCATTTGGAATCTCCAAGCCGAAGGATCTATGCAACCTCCAACATCCTCCAAACCAGACGCCTCTGTTGTTATTTTGGTTCACCTCTAAAATTGTCTTAAAACCACACACCTCCCACCTCCCAACACCTTCTTGCCCAACAGATCCGCAAAAATTATCCTCCGTCCACGTGGTGTTGACGTCAAACCCTGCACCCGAGGTCCTCAAGGCTCACTGCTTAGAGTCCAACGTCCACGAGGCCATTGCCCAGGAGCTCCGGCAGATTCGCAGCTCGCTCCTGCGCGCGCGGGGGACGCTGACGAGTACCCGTGGCAGCGGCTTCCGAGAGACTTGCTGGGGGCTCCTCACAGTGGCTTGGAAGATGGGGGCACAAGGAGGACGTCGCGTACATGATGTGAGTGTGGTGCAGGAGTAGGATGGAATAGGTGTAGTGGTACTGAACGGATGTACACTGCAAAAATCTGAACACTTTGGGGGTGGACATGTTTACTCGGCTTTGATGGGCTGCAAACCAATAAACCACCCAGAATCGGTTGCTCTCCCACGATCGAATTGACCAAAATCCGCCGACCTCCAACCATCGTGCGAGAGGGGTCGATCGACGTTGGTGGTGATTTGCGGTCAAATCATAGAGGAGTCGCGTTTTTCTTGCTGATATTTTTTTGTGATATGGCTTGACTTCTTCTCCTCTTTTTTTTCGAATGGAGGATGAGATAAGCCTAGTGAGTCTAGGAGATGTACAACCCATGAGACCTACTCGGTCCGGGCAACGGATGCGGACGTCAGGGCCACGATGGGGATGTCATGACAGCTCTCAACTCTCGACCAACAATTGCGGCGGCGAAGCGTCCTGTGTACGAAAGTGGGTGAAAGAAGGTGAAAATTAGGTGACTTTGGGAAAAATGCGACACCTTTGCCCGCCTGCTTGAGCCCCGTTTCACACATGTTTCATTGTTTTTCCTGCATTAGCCGTGCACAGATTGCTGTGAAGGGATTTCTCTGATTTGCTTCAGAACTCTGATTGCCTGAACTTCGTGTGGTGGGATTTCCCATCTCTGATTTCTTCCTTCAGAACTCCAGGGATTTTTTGGGAATGGGGTGGATTGGAAACCCGAAGGGGCCAGTCTCATGCTGGGCCACTTCATGGAGATACAGTGTGGTGAGACAAGCAAAGACAAGCAAAGGGGCTCAGGCCTGAGCGGAGTTGGGGTTCTGTCCCAGTTGTCAGGTGTTCAAGAAATCCAGTCAGTTACTTTTACGGCATCTTGCTGACTGAGTGACATCTTGCCGTCCAATACCAATTCTCCAACCATCCACAATTGTTTGCTCCCTTGATGATGCGAATCTAACAACTTCCATGAAACAACCCACGGGATGACCTCCCTTTTTCCGTGACGCGGGAGCGCGCTCGCACCCCATCAAGCGCCCGCGCCCGCGCCCGCGGCCGCCGCACCCGCCCCCGCAAGGCTCTCTTGCTGCTGATTGGTTGCGGCGAGCGCGAGCGCGAGGGCGCCGAAACCCTGGGCCCCAGCGCTGAAGAGGTCCCCGGACCGATGAGACTTGGACGAAGGGGGCGGTGTGAAGGTGGTAGCGGGACTTGAGAGATACACAGGAGAGATGGAGTCGAAACAAGTGGACAACCCACAAGTCTTTCATAGTCTTCCCACATTTCCCAAACCAGGAAATTGCATATCCAATTTCCCAAATGTCCCACAGTTTATGTTACTCCAATTTATGCAATGTTCCTTTACTGCTGGTATTTTTGAGAGTCCCAAAGTCTGATTTTGCGCTTCCCGCTTGCTCGAGGTCACCTACAGTCAGACTACTCGGTTAATTCTGTGGATTTCTCGGTTGATTTCTCAGTCTTTGACTTGCAGAGGAGATGGTTGAAGGATGTTGAAGGTGACTGGAAGTTCCTTTCTGAAAAGGACAGTCGAAGCTCACTTAGAGTGACTGCGGTCTTTTGGACCCACTGACTTTTGGGTGAAATAATGAAAGGTATTTCCTGTGCAAAAAAACACACATAATTATTTTACCTATTTTTACCTTATATACATGATTTATACCTTTCATGTTCTTTTTTGCATTGTTTACATGTATTTACTGTGCAACACGGGGTTCGAATTTCCTCTATTTATAGACGACCATGGCGCCCCTAGGTTCATGTTCGGCCATTTTCTAGAAGTCAGGATAATTTTGACACATACGTTTCGTTTGTACAGGAGTAGAAAAAAACACCTGAAAGAAGAACCCATGGCTTGGGTCATGTCACCCAGTCTATCTTGTCATACTTGTCATGTTTGTACGAGGAGTAGACCAAACCTGAGAACATCCATGGCTTGGGTTTGCCCCCCTGCTTAATTTAGAAGTAGCCGACCATGACCATCCCCAATAGGTTCAATGAGCGACTAAATACAGAAATACATGTCCCATTTGTATCCATGTGTGATCTCGTGAACCAGTAATATCCAGTGACCGGGTTGTGTTCAGGATCTGGCGACAAGTTCGCATGGCCCTGGCAGATGGTCCGGGAGGCCTTTCTCCCCACGGTCACAGTCGCTCGTCGCAAATCACAGCTGTTCCTGACATCCCAGGAACCGGTGGGGAAGCCGTTTTGGGTCCTGTGGCACGGGAAGGGATGCTAGCAGCTAGCAAAAGAATTTGTTTAAGACCTGGAGCTTTCCAAAAGGTAGCCCAGGGATAGCATGACGCCAATGGTTCTGGAAGGTGTGAGCAGGAACAGCCGTTCTTAGTTCCTCAAACAATCCTGTTTCTATAATATGATGTTGAGCCATACCCTGGATGATTCTCCACTCTTTGCTGACTGCCACATGTGTTGGAGACCAATTCATTCATGTTGTGTTGTTCACCTCTAACCACCGAGTTTTTGTATGGCAAGCTAGTGACCAGTCAGTGACCCTTTTCGTTCGTCACCTGCCCTCCTTCCGACGTGGAAAGAGGTCGCGAAGGACCCAGAAAAACATAGAAAAACGCTTTCCACGGTTTGGGACGGTGCTTGGAACGGTGTCCCAATGTGATCAGATCGAAAACGACTGAGGACGGTCAGTCAGTTTGGGCAAAGAAAAGCGCTTCTCACAGGCCCATGTCATCTCATGGTCCACCTTTTCAGCAAGGTCTAGGCCACAGGGGAAGAGATCCTTTCACTTGGATGTCAAGTTGGCAAGTTGGATATTGAGACGAAGCACTCTCAGGTCGAGCCGTTCGCAAAGCCACATCGAAGTTCAATCTCTTTGAACCTCACAGAAGAAGTTTGATCACTTCATTTTTCAACTGAGGGGGGGGGGGAAAGAAAGAACACATCCTATCCCACCATCCCAGGTTTTTTTTAGCTGCCTAGTTGATCCATCCCTTATCCATCCCGCATCATCCGCATCGGAGACTTCACATGTCAACTGTCCTGAGCCGCTGAGCCGAGGTCCAGGCCCCAAGACCTCGCCCAGCAGGACCTCCTCGCGCCAAGCGGACCTGCGGCTCAACCCTCTGTCGGGCCCACGTCGCACGAGCCCCGTGAATGGCCGCGTGGCCGGTGATGTTTGGGAGGAGAGGGGGGAGGTGAAGGGGGGAGCGATGGACCAAATCGTGGTGGATCAGAACGAAAACCCTTTCACAACCACACAGATTGACGAAGAGCTGCTCCAAGACGGTTTATGTTTGAAGAATTGCACGTTTTTTTTCACCTGATTGCTTCATGTTCGATTTTTGAGATGAGGGCGGATGTTTTCGAGTGCTGTTAGAAAACGAGTCGAGCGATGGTCGACCACGCTAAGTCTCTCTCTCGTGGAGTCGAATTTCAAGTTCGACTCTTTGAGGGGAAAACTCGTGTTGAGAATTCCATCGAATACCTCATTCGATGGATCAAGACAATCAAGCTGCGAAAGCTGCGGGGGGAAAGGGATGTCGACACACATCACCCACCACAATTTGACCGGGCAATGACAGGAGGACATTGTCCAGCGAAGTAGTGCTTTCTGTGTGGCTTAGCCAGTTTCCTTTTCCGCAGGGGTTTATCAGTACAAGTCTTGAAGAAAGGGCTATAAACCAGCATTTGCAGACCTCCAGGGGTTTCAGTCTCAGTGGCAAAAGAAAGATAGCAAAATCACTGGGAAGGTGGGGATCCCTCACGGAATGTCATGGGGGTTTTGGAATGCAGATGAATGCAGATGTTCAATGATTCAAGTATTAGAGATTGTGCAGAGCCCCGGCCCGAGTTTCACGACAAGCGTGAGTGGACTGAAGCGCGGACCGTCGACAGTCAACAGTCAAGACTTAGAGATGTTCTAGACTTGAGTCATTGAGGTCTTAGTCTGAGGCAACTTTCGTGAGCTTCTAGGCTTGTGCTCCTGGGGACCCGTAGAGCCGCTTCCGGCCCGGCCGTACCGCCGAGCCGGAGCGGGTGCGGGTCCGGCCGACTGAGGTGACGTGAAGCGGACAGCCGAAATGGCACCGCAGACCATGTTAGAGAAAGTGGACTGGATGATTGCGAATGACCGGGCCATGAGGTAGCTAATGCAGGTAATCAACTATCCTTTAGATTCTAGAGCGGGCAGATTGCACGAAGAAGGACCCGAACAAAAAAGGCGCCAGCGCCGCGCCTCGATGCGGTGCCGGCAGCTGCGTGCTTGCTCTGGCTCCGCGTGGGAAAGTGGTACCTCGTGAGTTCTCTCTAGCCGTTCGGAGTTGCAGCATGGAAAGCCATTTCTGCAGAAGATCCTTCCCTTCTAGCTTGGTTTGCTTGGTATGCCTTCATTGCTGTACCATGGGCCTCAACAGTCGAGACGGCATAGGCTGGCAAGTCGAGACGTCTTTGGTACCATGCATTTGGCTTTATTCCGTGTGAGGCAAGAGTACTTCGAGCAGTTGCAAGCCTTTTTGAAGCACTTGGATCGCCCAGAAGGGACCGGAGGGGGAGAGTTTCCGAGCGACGGAACGAGACGTTCGGTGCCAAAATCGAAGTCGTTCGGTGCGGCGGCATGGCGACGAGGTTCGGTGGGTAGTGCACTTGGAATGGGAGACCGGGAGACCCCCTTTCTGGGTTGACTGGTCCATGTTGCTGGAGCTTGGTGCTAAGCGGCTAGACATGGATACATATATCTGGTCAGTTGAAGACATGGTGGATTTGGTGGACCCTCTTTTGAGGGGCTGACGTTGGTGGACCCGAATGTTAGAACTAACCTGGAGCTGGTTACGTGGATGGCCCCGATAGGAAGACCATTTTCTGAGTACCAAACAGAGGGTTTTCACTCCACTTCCATGTTAGTTCCAGGGAGTGTAGCATCCTTTATTCTTGGAGAAGGTCTTCTTCAACTCCAGATGCAACGGAATGGAGTCAAAAGGTAAAGCAGAGGTTCTGGTCCGCTTTGGAGAAGGTCATGAGTCATGCTTGAAGGCTGCCAAGGCATGATGACACTCCCTCCTTACAAGCATCTACTGTAAGCTAAACGGGATTCCATTATATTCCCTTTACCAGGAGTTTCAAAGGGGTGCGATCCATGGAGGTTAGGGGTGCCCATTACCCACTCACTTAGGGACTAAACACCACCCCTTTGTGACCCCTGGTATATAATTGTATAAAATTGTTTTACAATATCTTACTATCACTCGTAGACCGACGAGCTGCGTTTGGTATGCCGGACTCACAGGTCCGCAAGCTACCAGGTCCAAAACAGGGATTGACCACGTGTCCAATCTCCTGTCAGCGACGATCCCGAAGAGGGAAGGCAAAAGAAGTCCAGCTGTACTAATGCGAGGTGCAGCACCTATAATGTAACCTTGAGGGAGGGTGCGGCCACGCGCTCGAGGCTTTGTGGAGTTAAAAATCTCCCGAAAATGGTTGCGCAGCTGGGTCCTTATGGAGAGCCATCAATGCCTCTCGAATCACGCTGTACACAACAATGTGCAAACCCAGTGATCAGGCTTGTGCCACCAAAATATGAAGATGTCTCTCTCTCTCTCTCTGAGTATACTTCAAGTTCATAAGTCACTTCCAAGTTCTTCACGCGGACCCAGTTCATCCAGATCTTGAAATGCTTTGAAATCTCCCGCATTGGCTGGGCAGTCCCCAAGGTGAGGTGGAACCACGTGGAACCATGTGGAACAATGTCGGTCCATGTCGGTACCGTGCGTTGTGGAATCCGTCCACTATGCTCTCGATCCCCTTTCATTTCAGTTTCCAATAATAGGTCCACGACTTCTCTACAAATGCCCGTTTGTCATGGTTTGTCGGGTTTGTGATGTATTGTTTGTCCCATGTGTGCCAACAAACAGACTCCTCACATGGGCAAACGATGTTGGACGTCCTTGGGGGGACGAGAAGACCCTCCGCGTCACGCAGGAAAGCCTGGCTGAAGCAGTCGCAGTATTCCGAAGATGCAGCTGGGATGCCCCAGCGAGCTTGGGGGCGTTCTTGGCCGGCGTTTTTCGCCCGGTTTTTGCCTCAGATGTTGGGTTTGCGGGTGTAGGACGGGGAAAGATGTAGATGCGGAAGATCTTTTGTAGAAGAGCACTAAAGCCCTCGATGTTTTGCAATGTATGTTTTCCTATCCAAAGGAGTTTGGGAGAACAGTAGGAGTGTTTGAAAGAGAGATTTATTGTACCGGTGACGTACTTCACAGCTTCTGAGCTTCGCTTTGCAGCTTCGGAGGTGGTGGGGTGGAGGAGTGTGAGACAAAATCCTCGACGATCACTACTTCGCATCATTGGGCACTGAAGAAGGGGAAAGGAAGTGGTGAACGAGAAGAAAGGCAACACACACACAAAAATAAAGAAATCATGCTCTTCGAGGAGGAGGAGGAGGAGGAGGAGGATGATGCTGCTGCTGATGATGATGACAATGATTATGATGATGATGATGAGGAGGAGGACGATGACGATGATGATGGTGATTGTGATGGCGATGTCGTTTTTCATTTGCTGACACAGCATCAAGAAAAAAGCTTCGGAGCTTTACACAAGTTGGATGAGCCAACCTCACGTGTTCGTCGGAGAAATTGGTCCTTGCCCTCCCTGGTCGCGAAGTTTCACAGCGAGTGGGAACACATTTGGAACACAGTGAGTTTGCATCCCCCCGCCGTTCCAAGGACCTAAAACCTGGTCCCGAGCGACCTCATGAAGTACGGTTTTTGACGGTTTTGGTCTTCGACCGGATTCCCGGACCTGGCTAGTCCCACCCAGACACTCTGGCATATTGGCATAGATTGGAAAACGTTGAAAAGGGGCCAATCTATATAGTCATATAATCATATATCGCAGTCATGGAGCCGCCCTCGGACGTCCGCGCATTCTTGAGGGCTCGGAGACGGGATGGCAGCCCTTACTGGGCAATGGTGCCAGGCCGTCACCAATGAATCGGTCGGGTGGGTTTCAGAAGGTGTCAGAGAGTTGGGGCAGCTGGTTGCTGTTGTGAAGCTGCAGAATTGGGGGCATCTGAAGCTGGATTCCGAAGGAGATGGCTGGCCAGAGCATGTCAGGAGTCAAAGAACCATTGTTTCCAGCCCCAAAATGAGCAGATGGAGTGACTTTCCGCCCCCGACATGGCCCAGTTGTTGTGGAAAGATGCCATGGGCCATAGCCAACCCGGTCGAACGAGAGAGAAGGGGGACTGAAAGGACCTTTTGGACCGTTTCCGCCCCAAGGACGTAGCAGATTTGCAAGACCCCTGCAACCATCTTCAATTGCGCATGGTAACCTCCGGTGAGTCATCTCTAAGATCCAAAAGCACTGGCCGAAAAAAGCCAGCACCTCACCTCCATGCATCTCCAAGCCATCTTCATGAAGCCAAGAAGCTACTAGGTGGAGGTCAGCGCTACTAGGTTGGAGGCCATTGCTACCGCTACGTTCGTCACAAGAAGAACCCGAACGTAACATCTACGTAGTAACAAGAAGCTTCCAAAAGGGAATCGTTTCACCTGTAGTAACAAGAAGCTACCCCGCCCCAGCCATCAAATCGTGAAACCGCTCGGGAGACCTCCGCTCCACTGAACCGCTTTGTGACGCGGCGACCGCCCGAAGACCGCCCCAGGCGAATGGGCCTTGGAGGCCGAAAATGGAGCTGGAGCCGACCAAAGAGTGGAGTGATCTGGTTCATGGCACCGGATTTTCTTGGATATCCCTAGGTGGATCACCCCAAGTTCTGGTGTCATTTTCCGGTGATCTGGAGGGATCTGGTCATGATGCGGTTCGATCGCTGTTTGGGGGACGCGTTTGGATGGCGACGTGTTTGGATGGCGACGAGGCCATGCGGCCTAGGTCGGACCGCCAGACCATCGACACATCCTGACACGAAGCGGAGACGATTTGTTGTCCATGCTTTGGCCCAGGGCCCAGATGGTTTGAACAGCACGTGCCAAGGTCATGGTCCATTGGTTCTTTTCGAAGGTTGGAGCCGTTCGGATGCTCTTGAGGTAGCAATCGTGCATAGCAGTGCTTCAGAGCCTGAGCCTTCGTTAGTCTTCGTCTTTGTAGCCCGCACATGGCCGAAGCGGCCAGAAAGTGATCGGGCGAAGGCACCTTCCCAAGCTGACGACATGGTCCTGGTGTGTAACAGGTTTGTTTCTGTTGGACACACGAAAACATACGAACACCATCTTTCAAGCCCGTTCGCCTTGATAAGACCTTTGAGCACCCAAAACAGGACCAGCGAACCTCGTTGACTAAGACATACTAAGACTCTTCTTGACTTGGCAAGAACGACAGAACGAAGGCCCTCGTTTCCTTTCCACGTCGACGTTCTCGGCGTCGACGTCGGGACCGGTCGGCCGTATTCGGCCGGAATCGCGGTGATGTCAGGCATTGCGATCAATCGCTGAGGCGGTGGTGCTTTTTGGGGGGAGGGGAATGAACGAACAGGAGGAGGAGTAGTTTCAGTATGTTTAAGTAAACTCCCTATCATGATGATGTGTTTGAAGGATTTTGATGATGTATTGAATAGTTGATGAATACGCCGTTTGTTTCTATCAGTGGGCCCCACTCGAAGTGTCTCCGGGTGTGACGAGATGTTATTTTGGTTCACAGGTGCTGCCCATTGCAGCTGAGGTCATGTCATGACTTGGTCTTCATGTGCAGTATAATTTGTTTTTGTTGCGGTGGTTGAATACATTTGAATACTGTAATTACCGAAGAATGGTCCTATGACCCAATGGGACACTGAACCACGGTGCCAAAACAATTAGAGACTTCTGGATTGCAACAACTCCAACTGGAGCCGCACACCAGGGCTTGGACTCGCTGTAGGGTCGAAGAGACCGCTAAGAATATGAGGAATGCATGTCACCCCTGCCGACCAGGTCTTGACATCAAATTACATCAAACTACTAATTCGAGTTGTTTCACTCCAAATCCGTCACATCAGGACGGATTTGCACACTAGAGCAATCTAGAGCATCAAGCTCGTACACTAATTTATACATTGGAAAAAAAGAATAAGCTAGGTTCATCTATGTTCTATATGGCTCTAAACAATCGACTGAGTGACGTTTCGCGTGAGCAACATGCCGTGAGAACGTCTTCGTTTTTAGAAGCGGGCGCTCCAGGCCACAGAGATTGTGCAAGGCAGTGCTAGTCATGCACTAGGTTCCATACTACGACCACAAATTTTTGGTGGTTGTTGCAAAGGATTTTGGACCATGAATTCCACGGTTTCTGTCCTTCTCTCCTCGTTCGTTCCCTCATTGACTCACTCATTCGTTCCCTCACTCGCTCCTTCCACTCGCTCCTTCCACTCGCTATCCACATTGTTTCGCCAAATAATTCTTTGCGCTAACCCCGCACTATATTTTATTTATCCTTTTCTATTTATGTTTCGTTTGGCATATATTATCGGTTCGAATCGATGGATATTATTAAAATAATCCTATGAATAATTTTATATTGATAATATATTATATAATATTTTTTAGTAATATTAATAATATATTATATATTTTTATTTATTTAATTTCTATGTATATATATATTTGTGGGTGAATATTAATGATGTTTTATTAATTTATTAATAATATATATATTCTTTCCCAATATATTTATATTATAATAAAACATATAAATTTGAATTTATTGATATTTTGTTGATGATATATTTTATTTGTAGAAATTATTGATATCGATTTTTTTTATGATTTGAAAAAAAAAAAAAAAAAAATATATATATATATAGATATAGGAGGAGGCCGTGGCAGATGCAATTTTTATGAGAGTGAATGTCGCGACACCAGAACGCATGAATGTGGGATCCTCTTTCAGATCTCGATCATGATGGGACACACCTTTTAACCTGAACACTTCCCCATCATGCCTGTCATGTAGAAAGCGTTTAGGACCGGAACTACCGAACCTAGCTCCATCTCCATTCCACCCACCGACACCGGCTTAGCTAGGTTCGAATACGGCATCGTCGTCCACGCCGACCAGGCCTGAATCGCCTGTCTATCGTGCCATTGCGGTTGATGAGTCTTATGCCTCTCCATCACCACTGCATGCATGTCCCCACTGTCACACAAGATTCCTGACAGCCACAGGCCTTGAGAGACACATGTCAACTCATGGACATGAAGTTTAGGCAGATGGCAACCTAGTTCGTGCCGCCAAGATTCCGAAACTTGACACAGTCCCGGCTATGTTGACCAAGCCTAGTCAGGTCATTGCGACCCCGTCCAAGTCGTTTAAATGGCCATTGTGCTTGGAAATGATTGGCCGTAAGGCCTTAGCCGGCCACCTGTCTAAGGAGCATCAGGTTGGGAAGCCATCGTTCTTTGTCTTCCGCCCTAGCGGTGACATGACACCGGGACGTTTAGCATGTGCACACTGCCATACCACCTACACGTCCGAAGCTGCCCTTCGCTTGCACTACCAAAGAGCAAGCTGTCCCATTTTGTTGATTGAATGGGTCAAAGATCAACACTTTGGACCAACGGTGACGCCACCTGTTCTCACTGAGGCCTCAGAAGCTTCGGACCCAGAGCTCCTGTATTCAACCCCTAACTTGATCTCAGGCAGATCAGTTCCGGCCGTCAGTGCCTTGTGCATCCCGATAGACACGCCTGTGTACACCAGCGACTTGTCTTGGCCATTGTTGACCACCGCATCCATGACCACAGTGCACGAATTGTTTAGCCAAATTTCTTTTTGGCCAGAGCTTCGACTTCGCTGGTTTCATACGTTTGTACACTGGATGGCTCACCTGTCAGATCTTCCGCATCTTGACCTTGAGGCCACACTGCATCACAAGCTTCTGGACCTTTGCACGTTGGGGGTTCCGTGCCATTGGGCTTGGGACTCAGCCGAACAGACCCTACTGCAATATGATACCATTGCTTTTCATTCGTCAGCCTGGATTCAGCACTTTCTTTTTCACAGCCTGTTATATGAACTGGAACACGTGCTGGCCCAAGACTGGTTCCATCGGTGTCTTGCTTTCAACCTCAGAAATGGAACGTATGAGCGGCGACGATCAGTCTTTTGCAGAGCTGATGGACGTCTGTGGCAGTCACTTTGCCAAGCGTCCAAGAACGGAGGAGGAGGACAGATTATCCGATCGCCGCACTACCCGAAAGGGACAGAGGAAGCCTTCGCGCTCATCGGCTTCGGACTTGGGAGAAGATGGCAGCTTGATCTCCATGCTTGCGAAGTTGACGCTTCGACAAGAGGACCAATTGAACCAGATCCACCTCGACAAGAGCTTCATCTTCTTTGTCCAAGCAGGAAAAGGCAGCATTTTGCCACTGATGTTGAAGACATCAAAGGACTGGCATGGGCAACGGGAGGCGGGACAAGCAAACACCTCTCTGAGACAACAAATGTTTCGCACAGTGTTCGAGGAACTTGCCTTCAGAGCTTCGAAACTCCCCTTCGGATCAAACGATCACGAACTGATCAAGGTCCTTCAGAACAAGCAGGTATTGACTGCCTCCAACTCCTGGAACTATCTCCAATGGAACTCCAAGGAGAAGACCTTGAAGCCAGCAGCCAGAGATCCACTCCCATCCGAGGAAGCCGCAGCATTGATTCAGAAGATCCATACTCTGGCGGCTCAAGCGGACCTCATTCACCGGTTCACAGCTTTGAAACCAATGCCACAGGATTCCACGGTGACGGACTCAGTGGTGGTGCCTTGGAGATTGGACATCTCACTGAGGGGCCAAGCAGCACAAGATCTCTATGCAGCCCTTCAACAGCTGACAGGCAGCGGGCTTACGCAGCTGATCTTTGTTCGAATCCGACCATCGACCTTGCAAAGGTCACCATTGGCTCAGGCCGTTGCAGCTCGCTTGATGAAATGAGAAAAGCCATTTTGGCACTCTCCTTGGGGAATGGGTCCAACCACTGCTATATGAATGCAGCTCTGTTGGCAGAACTATGGGCATGCTGCATGACTGACACCTTTGTTTGGCACGCAGTTGGAGAATGGAAAGAACCTTTGCTTCGATTGCTTTCGTGCAGCAACCAGCATCAGGTCCTGACTGACCTCGGCTGTTTGGGCCACCTTTTACATTCATGGTTCACAAATCATGAACCGGGGACACAGCAAGATTCTGCTGAGTTTGTTGGCTGGCTTCGACATGCCATGCACGGGGATGAACATGGTGGTCAATCCACCTCTAAATGGGAGGCACGGCTAGAAGCGGCCACTGAGGATTCAGGCCAATTGTACGCTCCGATCCTCCTTCAGCAGACAAAAGATGGAGTGTGCACGATCCAGGACCTGATCAATCTTTGGCATGACCAAGCACCTTTTCACTGTGGTTTTACGCCAGAAACAACCACCGTATGCCTTCAAGTGAATAGGTACCCTGCCATGGATGTTCGATCCCCTCAACCCATTCGCTGGAACCGCATTCCTGTACACTTGCCTTGTTTCGTCAATGCACACAGCTGGACAGTCCATTGGAAACGTTTTGAGATAGTTTCCGTTGTGGTTCACCGAGGCGCAGAACCTCACACCGGCCACTACCAGGCCTGTCTTCGCACCGGAGGCTGTCGCTTCCTGACTGAGGACTGGAGTCGAGCAATGCCATGTGCTCACACGACAGACCTTGAGCATGATTTGTATGTTCTTTGGCTTGTTGACAGCACACACCTCACTGAAGCATGGAGCTCACTCCTCGCATGCAATCCTTTCGTGCCTTTTTCGAGCAGCCATGACCACTGACGCATGATGCCGCCCGGGGCAATAGATGCGCTAGACGCAACCGATCTACGGATTGAAGCCCAACACGGGCAGAGCTCTCTCTGCCGGAAGTGAATAATAATAATAATAATATATAAATATATATATAATTAAATATATTAATTTATATGTTTTGTTTGTGTATACAAGACAATTATTTATTTGGGATATAATTTATGAAATAAACACTAAATTTTCGGATTTAATAATGATTTTATTTATATATATTGTATTATTTTATTTGGATTATTATATATAATTTAAATATATATTTTTTCTATATAATGTTTGGATCGATTCGTTTGGAAATATATTAATTCAATGGATATATAATAATAATTCTACTAAGATATTCTCATGTCTTTTATGTTAAGACGCGGTTGGACGGAAGGCATTGGTTGTTTATTTTTGGAAGGAATATAGTATTGACAAATTTGTATGTTTATCATTTCGGCCAAATCGAAATATGTTTGATGACAATTTAATTTGTGCACATTGCTTGAATAATGACCCAACGAGGCACTCTTTCGATTGCATTATTAAAAACCCAATTGTCCGATTTTATTCATAGAATCGGTCAAAAAATAGTATTTTGAATTGGTCTTGATCATGATCGTTCCACCCGCAGAACTTCCTTCAAGCTCCCGTGATTGGTTCACCGGCCGCATGCATTCCAGCTGACCACATCCGGTCTCATTATTCCGGAAGATGCCCCGCACTGGACACCGGAATTGACACGGAACTTGACATCTTCTCAGCAGGTGGAGGGTCTTGTACAGATCCCTGGATTTCTTCCTTTTTGGCCTGAGTTCAGATTTCGTTGGTGTGTTGACTTCATAACACGCCTAGTATATATTACGACCTGCCATAGATTGTTCTTCCGCATTTTCAGTTCCTGCACCTCTGCCAGCTGCTGAGCCCCATTCATTGGGCTTGGCATTCAGAAGACCAACTATTGTTCATATTTGAATTGATGGAATTTCATGTCTCACCGTGGATTCAGCATGATTACTTCCAAATTTTGTTCTATGAATTTGAACATGTATTGGTCCAAGATTGGTTTCATGCATTGAGCCTTCGAGATGGAGCGTATGAGCGCCGAAGATCAATCTTTTGTAGATCTGATGGAATTTTGTGACAATCATTTTGCGAAGCGGCCCAGGACGGATACCGAGGAATGATCATCAGAGCTTCGATATACCCGAAAGGGACTGAGGAAGCACTCGCGCTCATTGGATTCGGATTTGGAC